TCTATATTGCCTTTTTCATTCCATTGGTGATTTTGTGTAGATTCATGACATACAATCCCAATTATGTCAAATTCAGTTCCAGGTTGTAACACTACAAAATGTAGAAAAGCTCAAAGTGGGTGAATGCTTATGCAAGGGACTGTGTACTGGCTTTGATAATAATGTTTTATGGTTTGACATTTAATCATAATAATAAACCAATAAACCAATATCATTCATCTAGAGTGATACCGTAGAAAGATGTCACCTCTTAGCAAAGGTTTTTAGGCCCGCTGCTACTTGACATATTTCCAGCAATCACAGAATGCAGGATTTTTTTGGGCACCGTCTATGAAATATCTCGTAAATTTCGTATTGATTATAAAATACTACTATTGACCTATAAAGCACTAAATGGTCTTGCGCCACAGTACCTGAGCAAACTTTTGGTCTTGTATGATCCGTCACGCCTACTTAGATCAAAAGGTTCAGGCTATTTGTTGGTACCTCGAATAGTGTGGGCTACAGCTGGGGGTAGAGATTTCCCTTACAAAGCCCCGCAGTTATGGAACAGCCTTCCACTTAGTGTTTGGGGCTCAGACACAGTCTCAGTGTTTAAGTCTAGGCTGAAAACATATTTGTTTAGTCAAGCCTTTTGTGAATAGTTTTTTCAAGGTACAGGGGCAGGTCTGGAGGGTTCACAGGGATAGTGTTGTGGTGAACTGGGATGTTTGGATTGCTGGGGATGGTGCCACCTGGGGGCTGTGGAGATGGCTTGGGGATCACATATGGGGAGCTGTACTGTAATGGCTTGGGACTGCGATTGCTGTAGTGGCTTTGGGGCTGCGGTTGCCAAGAACAGCTTCGTACTCAGGACTCCATCAGTGGACTGTGGATAGATTTTAACCAACCGGACTTCTTGCGAAAACTGTGATGAATTTATTGGTTGCACAATTGCACTATTTGTCCTTATAGTACACAATAATAGAAGGGATTTATTTATAATCGCACTATCCGTTGCACCCAGATGAGGATGGGTTCCCTTTTGAGCCTGGTTCCTCTCAAGGTTTCTTCCTCATATCATCTCAGGGAGTGTTTCCTTGCCACCGTCGCCACTGGCTTGCTCATTAGGGATACATTCACAGCGATAAATTAAAATATTTACAATATATTTTTTGTGAATCCATTTATTTCTGCAAAGCTGCTTTGTGACAATGTCCTTTGTTAAAAGCGCTATACAAATAAAATTGAATTGAATTGAATTATCTCCACTGACAAGCTATTAGAAAAACTAAAAGAAAACCAAAAAAAGAGCACCAGTTCCACAGGCTGATTAAATTGACCATTACAATGGTAGCTAAAGCCGGTATAAAGCCTCACCTTATATTTACTTATGCAGTGGTACCATGGTTGTGATGTTCTGTAAATAACTGAATTATACACTAATGTGAACACATCACTGTTTGAGTTGCAAACAGACGGTTCTGGAGGACAGGAAGCTGACAGAATTAATTTATAGCCGTCTGGATGCAAGAGTTTTATCACAGACGAGATGTGCAAATATTTTATCATGGCTGTCATTCTGAAAAACTAATTACAGCGAATAGGACTAAAGATGATGTCAGAGATCATGTCAGTTGTTCTATAAATATATCTGAGTGTTATCCTTGGACATTAAGTACAGCAAAATACTTCTCAATGAGTCACTCATTTTGTGTAGTGCAGGGTGCTAAATCTAATTAGCAAATTACAAAAACCAACGTATATCTGTTCACATTACATGTTAATCAGCTGAATGATGAGCTTCTCTGCAAAATGTGATATATGCCACTTTTTTCATTTTTTTTTTAACCAAAATTTTATCTAGATAATCAGTTTCACATCAGCTCCAAAAACATCACTTTCACAGTTTTACAGTTTTATATACACAAAGAGTTATTGGAGCTTTTTCTTTAATTTCTTTTGTCCAAAAAGGGGTCAAAAATCCTAATGTGCTGACAGATTTTTAATGCCACACCCCTGCATTAATTTCTAACCAAAGAAATAGTAAAACGTGCAAATGCAGAATAGCAACACAATGGTGTTAACAATCATATTACGCTTGTGCTGGAACAATTGAGCCATAAAAATGTGTTTGCTGTCGTACTACTAACAATTGAATGCAGTGAAATGCCAAAAATATACACATCATCATTTAAAACTATGCAACTATGAAAAAATTGCTGAGTGATTTGAAATTTCTGTAGAGTTAACCTTGAAAGTGAGCATGGGATTGATCTAAGCCCAGCCTTACTTCATGAACTTTGACGGTCCAATCAAGAAGCTGAGTGACACGTGTTTAGTGACCAGTCATACAGAGAGGGTCAATGCATCCACGATGGCTTCGAAATTGCTTCGTGTGCTTGACCAGAATGACAATATAATGCAACAGCCGTGTAATGAACGGCCCACTGCCCCCTCACCTGTCACTCACACCTGCGGAGGCGGGAACGCTACAATAACACACACACACACGCACATTTAACAAGATAAAGGAATGTCTGTAAGTCAAAGACACACAAACTGGTGTAAGAGGGAATGCACACACAGCACAGAAAGCAGAACATCTAATCTGCATGCATGTGTCATTTAATACATGTGCGAACTGCTTATGCATGTGTGCATGTGCGTGTAAACTTTTTTACACATGCATACACACAATCACAGCAGAAGATTGCATAGTTTTTCAGAAGTAACAGAGCAGATCCAGGCCATAATAAGCTCCGATTCACTGCTCTCTAGCAGCGTCTCTCAGAAACACTACATGTGCAAAATTAAAGGCCATATCTACTAAAATTTTCAAAATATTAGGGATTACTGGAGCCACATATTACAACTTATCGAGGCTGAGGGTAATTACTGACCTTGAAAAAGTGACAAACCCTATAGAAGAAATCAATGAAAAAAATGAAACATATGGAACATTAAATGTATTAAATAAAAACCTGGGGTTTTCAGCAGTCCTCAGGTTTCAAATGAACTCATATGAAGTTAATCCTGCCACTGAAAATGAATGTTTTGCAAAATGGTAAGTACACACACTCCATAATTGTTCAGGTTGTGTGAACAATACCATACTTAGGACAACAGATCTGTTCAACATAAAGCAAGTTATTGGTCATAAATTTCAAACTGGTGTATAAATTTTTAAGTGGTTGCTGTTAGCCAAAGCTAAATTCATCACCTTCCTCATTTCTCATTTAAATATACAGAGTTTTATATAAAACTATACAAAACTGTATTCTTTTATACTGAATGCAGATATATTTAATGATGACATTTAATGCACTGTGGATTTTATGTTAAAACAGAATATGTTTGAATTTCCACAAAAGAATAAATAAATAAGAGTAAATAGTTAGTCTCTGTGTGTGTGTGTGTGTGTGTGTGTGTGTGTGTGTGTGTGTGTGTGTGTGTGTGTGTGTGTAGAGGTCAATACATAGGTGTGGAACATGGGCAGATTGCCAAAGCTTTCACATTATTGCCAGTAGTGAGCTGGAAAATGAGAAGCTGAGCCATCCACAACTCACACATGTGACTGAACTTACGCGCACACGCACACACATACGCACACACATACACACACACACACACATATCTACAATAGACATAACACTCAAACATTCATGATTTTCATACCAATCAATTATTAATATAGAATGAAATATAAATCTAAATATGAAAATACTGTACAAAAGTCACTTCTGCAGCATTCAAAATGTTGGCTTCTTGAAGAAACTACTGTTCTTCTGTCTTTTCAGGTAGTATCCCTTACCTAGCACACTAGCTAGTTAGAAAGTCAGTATATAATAAAAACACAGTTTGAGATGCCCAAGGAACTAAAAAATCCAATATACCCTTCGCTAGTTATCCTGCAGGTATGACTGAGGTGTGAGGAGAGGTCAAACATTAGTAAAACATAGGGTAGGAGTATCAAGCTCACAAATCAAGCTAAAAGCTAATAAAACAAAAGTCCAGCAACCCCATGTATGAATTTATGCCAGAAATCTCATGTAAATGGGTTGGAACCATTTAGTGTTTTATCCAATGTGTGTCATCACCATACAATAATGGAACCCTTGCTTTCCCATCAAAACATATACACACTTGACACACATGCACTCACACACTCTTCAGCTCGGTGTTTAATCAGGCGTAACATGAGTGCAGCACTTTCCTAGCCCTCAGTCAGGCTAATGCAAGGTTTAGTGTGCATTTAATTAGCTTCATTTCATTAGATTTGGAATGGCTTAATATGAAGTGTTCACAATTTCAAGGTTCATGTTCTATTCAATAGATGTCCAATTGAAGTATGCCATTGCTTTAGATTTTCTGCCTTTTTTAATACCCAGTATTGGGATTGCACACAAGTACAGCCATTTTAGGGTTATGCTTTTTTGGAATCCATAAAACGCTCTACTTTCCACTAATTTCAATGGTCCTTAGTTAGAGTGTGTGTACATTTTAATGAATTTTATAAGCAATCTGAAAAATGCAATATTTAATTTGTAAATATGAATCAGAATGCACAGACATGAGTCTTTAAATAGTTATTCAACTGAGCAATAGGCACATTTATGTACAAGAGGTACCATGAAGCACTCTGGGTGTATCTTGGACAGGCGGGATGTTTAAAGGAAGACTAAACAGGATTCTATTAAAAATAAATAAATAAATAAATAAATAAATATAAAAAAACAATAGATTATGCTTTCCTATAGTGAAACTAATACACTGTTTATATAAAGATGAATATGAGACAATAGATCTGAATTTCAGCTTAAAACATGGTACCTTTTGTTTGAACCCACCCATTTTCCAAGCTGTTCCTCTTTCAGCCGCTGTTAACAGTGGATCATTGGGTCGCATATTTGATTTGGCACAGTTTTTACGCCGGATGCCCTTTATGACACAACCCTCCCCAATTTTATCCAGGCTTGAGAGAGTGCACTGTTGCATACAACCCCAGTGGCTGGGGTCGGTTTCCTGGCCGGGAATCGAACCCAGGCCGCAGAGGTGAGAGCACTGTGGACTAACCACTAGTGGACTAGTGGCCAGAGTGGAGAAAGAAAGGATCTGCTCATGATCCAAAACACAGAAGCTCATCGCTCAAGCACGGTGGAGGTAGTGTCATGGCTTGGGCTTAAATGGCTGCTCCTGGAATGGGCTCACTAATCTTTATTGATGATCTAACTCATGATGGTAGCAGCAGTATGAATTCAGAAGTCTACAAGAAGAAATATTCTGTCTGCCAACCTACAGAGAAATGCATCCAAACTAGTTGGGAGGAACTTCATCATGCAGCAAGATAATGACCCAAAACATACAGCCAACACAACAGAGGGTTTAGACTGGTCTAGTAACTCACCAGACCTTAACCCAATTGAGCATGCATTTCACCTCCTGAAGAGGAGACTGAAGGGAGCAACCCCCCAGAACAAACAACAACTGAAAGAAGCTATGGTATAAAGACTGGAAAAGCATCACAAAAGAAGAATGCAATAGTTTGGTGATGTCAGTGGGTCGCCGGCTTGATGCAGGTATTGCAAGCAAGGGATTTGTAACCAAATATTAAGTGTTATTTACTTTAATTTACTTAAAAACTATCTGATCCAGTACTTTTGCTCACCAAAAATGTGGGTGGAATATTGCAATATTCTAAGTTGTTTTACACATCTAGGTGTAAATATCAGGAAATGAAAGCTGAAATTCTAGCTGATCTTTCTTCTAAGATCTATCGTCTCATATTCATCTTTTGATCTCAAACACAAACAAGATTTATATATATCTTGTTAGGTCCGGAAGTATTTGGACAATGAGAGTTTTTGTGATTTTGCCTTTATACACCACCACAATGGATTTGAAATAAAACAATCAAGATGTGATCGAAGTGTAGACTTTCAGTTTTATTTTAAGACGTTCCACAAAATACATGGCATTTCCCATTTAGGAATTACAGCCATTTTCAGCAAAGTACTTCCATTTTCAGGGGCTCAAAGGTATTTGGACAATTGACTGACAAGAAGTTAATTGGCCAGGTGTGGTCCATTCCCTCATAACTTCAAGACAAATGAAGCAGATAAAAGGTCTGGAGTTGATATCAGGTATTGAGTTGGCATATGACAGCTGTTCGGCTGAAGCTACCAATATGAAGTCCAAGGAGATCTCAATGCAAGTGAAGGAGGCCATCATTAGGCTGAAAAAACAACATAAATCTATAAGAGAGATAGCAAAAACCTTAGGTGTGGCCAAATCAACATTTGTGTACATTCTTAAAAAAAAAAGAAAGCACTGGTGAGCTCAACAACATCGAAAGGCAACTAAGGCAACTAAGACAACTAAAGTGAATGATAGCAGAATACTTTCCCTGGTGAAGAAAAACCCCTTCACAACATCAACAGAAGTCAAGAATACTCTGGAGAAGGAAAGCGTATCATTGTCAAAATGTACAATCAAGAGACGCCTTCATGAATGTAAATACAGAGGGTTTACAACAAGGTGCACACCACTGGTAACATTCAAGAACAGGAAAGCCAGATTAGACTTTGCACGAAAAAAATCTGAAAAAGCCTCCCATTTTCTGGAATAAGTTTGGACTGAGCTTGAATCTGGAAATTCTCTGGACTGATGAAACCAAGATTAACTTGTACCAGAATGGTGGGAAGAGAAAAGTATGGTGAAAGAAAGGAACAGCTCATGATCCAAAGTACACCACATCATGTGTCAAACATGGTGGAGGCAGTGTTATGGCATGGGCATGTATGGCTGCCAATGGAACGGGCTCACTGGTGTTTATTGATGATGTGACTGCTGACAGAAGTAGCAAGATGAATGCTGAGGTGTATAGGGCTCTACTCTCTGCTCACATTCAGGCTCAGAATTTGAGTTTTGAGAACACTGGCTCCAGACTTTGACTGCAAAGGATTTTCATCCAAGTATTAAAATTGGTTATCTACACTTCGATCACATCTTGATTATTTTATTTCAAATCCATTGTGGTGGTGTATAAAGGCAAAAACACAAAAACTTTGTCATTGTCCAAATACTTCCAGACCTGACTGTGTGTGTATATATACACACACACACACACACACACACACACACACACACACACACACATATATATATATATATATATACACATACAAATATAATGTTTATTTTCAATTTTATGGTTATATGATTATATAATTACTATACATGATTATATATAAATATTACATATGTCTAGAATCACCTTAAACATTGCAGGCTGCAGCTGAAATTATAGAATTAATGCCCATGCAGCTAGCAAAAATTTTTTATATGTTTTTCTGCTTTTGGTAGAATTTTAAATTGGTTATTTAAACTAAAACAGATTATACTAAACACACAGAGTAGATCAAGGCTATTTCTGAAAGGCTTTACTCAAGAGTGACGCAGCAGTGAATTTAAAAGAGGAAAACACAGTTATGTGTGTCTGCCAAGATGTGGATTAAAAATGAAAGCTGTGTCTGTTTTAGTGATCATGATCAGAGAGAATCTGTGAGAGAGAGCCACACAATTTATTAGGCAACTCTCGACCCAGAACCCTCAGAACCCAGGAGAGATAATCAAAGCCATGAAATAGACTGTGATCTTTGACCAGTCTGCAAAAAAATTATGTACTCTGTATTCTTTACGACAGGTCCATAGATGATTTAACTCATCAGGACCGAATCCTTGACCTGACTCTAGATGTCTAAATGCATGTGACATATACATCCTCTAGGAGACATCCCAATGTTTTTTCCTCTACATATTAGAAACATTTCTGGTGTCAGAACCTGGATTTGAATAGCTCAAGATGCAGCTGACAATGCAGTGTGACCTGTATGATTCTTGTACTGCTCTAAACAAAGTAACAAGATTCCATTAAAGATAAGATTAAAAAAGGCTGGAATAGTTCTTTTCAGTTATCACACATGAATGCTTTCTGAGAAAGAATGGAAAAAGCGGATTTTCCAGATCACACACACGCTGTTGCCAGCAACAGTCACAGCTTACTGCCTTACTCTAAATAGGCTGCAAAAAGCATGTGGCAAATGAGCCTCTGTGTGTATTGATGTTCGTGTGTGTGTGTGTGTGTGTGTGTAGGATTAGTGCAGCTATCAGGATTGAGTCCAGTTCTCCTGTAGCTAATTGAAAAGCTACAGAGTGGTTAGATAAAAGATCCTGTAGAAGAACACAACGGTGCTAAAGCAGTGTTACACTTATGTGCCTGCCAGATGGACAAGAGGGTGTAACAATGTAATGTGTGTGTGTGTGCTCCAACTGCTCAGCTGAGGAATGGTGAGGTGTCTCTGACTAGGACGACACAAGTATATTCTTCACTGAAACGCAATTTATGCAGGGAAAGTTATGCATATTCAGAGTCTGGTTATGCATGACTAAGCTGATCTTCTGGGTTCCTGTAAAGAACATGTGCCCACTGTTTGAAGGATAAGCAGACCAAGCACTTATCTGATACACTTACAACTCACTTTAAATTAATTCATAATTTTATCTGTAAAAACATTTTGGTTCTTGAGATACGCAATGTCTCCGATTAGGATGCTGTCTCCTTTAATTGAGTTTTTAAAAAATAGCATTAATTCAATTCAATTTTATTAGTAAAGCATTTTTAAAAATTGACATTGTCACAAAGCAGCTTTACAGAAAAGCTGCTAAGCTGCTAAAAGTTAAGTTCAAGGCAGCAATCATGTGTAAGCGACATGTCTCTGTTTTCAGCAAACTCCATCCTGTGCACACATCCTGAGCAACTGTCTGAGTTGCATCTATAGGTATGGCTGAGTGTTTAACTCAAGTTGGAATATAAACCTGAGACTAAAGCAAATTTTTCCCATGCACTCTATGTGCTAATCCTCCTCTATCCTTGTCACAGCACCATGTTTGGCTGGTTATTTTTGGTTAGTGAACTGTTTCTCAACAGTTAACCCATCACTGACACTGAGGTGTACAAAAACCACAGTATTGCTGCTGCATCATACAAAGAGATGGACTACATGAAGTATAACTGTATACCTGCAATAGTGCACTTATATGTCTGATAAAAGGGACAGTATTGTTTATAATTGGTACTAACTGCCCTAACTGTCCACTTCTGTAATCATACTGTAAGCGCAGATACCTGCGCTTGGCTAAGGTCAATCTAATCGGCAGGGTTGAGTATAACTCCTCATAACAGGGTTGAGTATACCACCCAGAGAGTAGAGCCAATTATGCTCACTTAGACTCCAGGTCACAAATGTCTATGGCATTATTAAGATTTGAACTTGTGATCTCCCGTAGATCAGAAGCAAACTCAGTAAAATAATTATCGGCCACTGTTGTGTAAAAATGTTTAGTATTGCTGCATTTTTAGCAAAGATCAGCAGCTGTAATGGTTAATACTCAAATGACTCTGGAGGGTTCTTGAAAATGTCATTCAAATGGCATCTTCCTGTGAAAGTAGGTGGCTCATGTTTTCTCCTTCTGTGGTATGTTAACTGGAATCACTACTGTCAAGAAGGCAGCATGTCTTAAACTCCCATCTCATGTCCTTATGACTCCATTCTTTTAAGATAACTAGACCAGAACAGGAAGATGAATCTATTCATCAAATGCATGATATGGTGAAAAACCCTGATGGCTTTCTGACAAGGCTGGGATTTGAACTCAGAACCATGTGGTCACTAATGCAGAACTCTAACTGCTGAGATACCACTCACTATGTAAATGGGTTCCTGATGGGAGCTGAGAATCTCAAATCCTCCTCTTATCTCCTTCTGGAGGCTGGGCGGATTTCACTAGGCTTTAACGTTAGCCCTTAAGGCCACCGTAGCTGAAAGGGTTAGCAGGTTATAACTGGGAGGTTTTTTTTTTTTTTTTTTTAGTTTTTTTGGAAAATTCATTCTCCTGTGGCACTTCATCATGTATTCATCAGACATAAGTGCACTTTGAAGACCCTTTCAAGACTGCCAAGAGGATGGACACACAAGTCACACATCTCTTATGCCTTTCTCTTACTATCAGAACATACACACGCACACACACA